TTGCTTTTTGATGAGGCAGACACATTCATGGCAAAGCGCAGCGAAGACAACATTGAACGCAATGCTCTCGTATCCAGTTCGTTTAATCTCAGTCCCACCGATCAGGTAGAAGAAAGGGACTAACCTGACGTCATAGTTCTTCTTCGCATGTTGGAATATCAGTCTGGTATTCTGTTTCTCACAACCAACAGGGTTGATGATTTTGACACTGCCTTCTTCTCCAGAATCCACGTTCGTCTCGAGTTCGACAAGCCTGGAGCTCCACAGAGGACTTTGATCTGGTCTTATCTTGCCGAGAAAGATGGCTACAATATATCTCAAGAAGAGTTTGCTAAGCTTGGAAACCTCCCGATGGATGGACGACGCATCAAGAACGTTCTACGGGTTGCATCGCTTTTATGTCGCTCGCGGGACGCGGCTGGGAAGACAACTATAGACGATGTGAAAAATTCGCTCAGAATTTCTGCTGGAGATCCGAATGATGAAGGAGTCGAGGAGGCAATTCAGGACTTTTGCGGGCGATGAGTGCATTGAATCTGTGCGGACAAAAAGCATTCCTTTCCTCTTTATGTATGTCTTTCCTCATGGTGGATACTGAATCCTGTATGTTTCTGGATTGGATCATCAAGAATGTGAATGCTTTTCGCAAATACACTTGATTAGAGCTGTTTCATTAGGCTCAAAATAGAGACCTACGATTGAATAACCGCCGACAATCGATCATGAGGCACAGGAGCACAGCCGGTCCTGCGCAAGTTCGCCAAGTCTTGGCATAAGACAATGGAACCATACTGCTGCCTGGCATCAGGACTTGTTTTCCGAGCTGAGCTAAGCCGCAGCACGATGAGGACCATGAAAATTACTTACGTCCCCAAAATCCAAGACCAAACGCTATTTTATGTGTCCCTTACATAGTAGCCAAGAACCTCAGCCCTGTGGCTCATTAGGCGAGCCAGCGGGAGCGTCCGAGTGACGACCCAGTTTCAACTGCCTAAATCACAACTTCAGCACTCGCCAGGCCTACCTGTTCCTCTAAGAGATGAAAGATGCTGCAAATAGAGACACGAGTGAGAAAGGAGGAACAGTATGAATGTTAGGCAGTTGAGAGCTTTGGAAAGACTTTTTGCATATAAAATGAAGGCGGTATGCCGCGTATGATACGGTTCTCTCTCTCATCCTCATCACAAACACCATCATTCTCTTGATCATCAACACTTCCTACTTATCTAATCCAGTTTCTCTTCTGTCTCCCAAACCCTCTTGCACACCCCTTCATCACCATGAAAACCTCCGCTGCTACCATTGCCATCGCGCTTGCGACCGCGGCCGCCCCCGCTATCGCCTATCCTACGACTCTGCAAACTCGCGACTTGGAAGAGTGACAAGGGCGGAAACATCAAGGTTGAGGCCGGCAACGAGTTGATTCTCTATGGGACCGCCTTGCCCTCAGCTACTCTCAATGCCATTCTCGACCAGTGTGGAGAGTTGAGTTGCAAGCCAGGGGAACCCGTCAAGGCTAAGACTATGCGCATCGGTGCTGGTAACATGGGTTAAGAGACGGAGATGGTTCTCACTGTCGAGGGGAGCTTCGCTAGCGCCGGAGAGCCTGGCGACAAAGCTCATGTTGTCGAAATGGCGAAAACAGTAATGAGAAAGATGTTTGACGAGGGAAAGCACAAACTGGAGCAGAACGTTCCTTACTACACCAAACCATGCCAGCAGACTAAGAACGGCTGTATCCGTAAGTTCATCCCCACTCGGACTTCAATCTTCTCTACCCCTGCCATGGTAATCGAGAGCCGTGACTGACCAATTTACGGGAGGAATAGACAAGGACAAATTCTACGCTGAGCAATGGCAAGCCACGGATCATGTCAATGACTCAATGTTCGGTATGAGGACGAGAAGACGGGCTTCAAATCCTTCCTCAATGTCGGTTTCTCTCACCCCGAGACGGACAGCCTTGACGGTGACATCTGTGCCGGTATCGCTGGTATCGGTGGCGCCATGGCCGGTGCTATTTCCGCAATTCATCCGGTAGCAGGTGTCGGTTTCTCACTTGCGTCTTTTGGGTGTGCTTTTATCTGAGGCAAGCAGCGTACTCGAACGTGGACTGGGCTTTAGCTACGACGAAGATGTACATATGAACGCGTAGATTGTGCGCGGCCTAGGCATAGCGGGTTTAATCAACAAAGCAACCATAACTTGACATACTTCTCGGGGCGTTTCCCCCGACTCCCTAGCTTTGCATCCCAAAGGTGCAAGACCATTCTGCATACAACATACGTCTCCAGCTAATGCTGAGCATCTTGTAAGGGCTCGACTCCGAATTCCGTACCTGCAGCACACGAGTCAACGACCCCATTCCGTCCGTGTTCGTATCCAGTCGGAGCCTAGACGCACGCCGTTGCGTCGTGCCCCGGTGAAAGCAACCCGGCCCCGGCAGGTGGAGGTGGGGCTCGAAAAGCCGAAAAGCCGATCATCGCTCTACGTCCAGCGGATTCAAAGTCCGATGCATAAACCTTTGCGGACTTGCTGCGGAGCTATTGCGGAGTGGTACCTGAGGTTGTATCAAAGTTGCAACCAAGTTCGGACACGGGCATTTGGCTATCGTCCGGCACGGCAGTCGTCGACGGCTCGGGCCATTGCATGGCGGGAGTTCGTCCAGCAGGGGTTGAGCAGATCGACAGATCTTGCCTATGACGAGACTCTTTAAGTCCAAGGGAGAACTGCTGGCTTTCCACGCTCTGTGTTCGTCCTGTCATTCAACCTTCTGACGAACTCATACACGAGTCTGTCAACCGCCACAATGCCAGCTTTGAAAGATGCCGTCACGTCAAATTTGACGCCTGGCTCGGCCATCTTAGTCCTCGTCACTGCTGTAAGTCTGATATCAAGCAACTAGTTACCAAACACTAACCCCAACTTCAACAGGGCGTGGTCTACAGAATCGGCGTCGTCATCTACAGGCTCTTCTTCCACCCCCTCGCCAGCTTCCCCGGCCCCAAACTCTACGCCGCATCTCACCTCCCCTTCCTCACGCAGAACATGCTCTTGGGCACCTTCACAAAAGACACCGTCAAACTCCACGGAAAGTACGGCCCCATCGTCCGCATCTCCCCCAACCGCCTCGCCGTCGACGGCTCCCTCGCGTGGTCCGAAGTCTTCTCCAGACGGCCCCATCAGCCCGAATACGAAAAGACAATCGAGGCCTACGGCCTGCCGGGCCGCATCGGCATCTTCCCAGCCTACCGCGATGACCACCGCCGCCAGCGCCGCCTCATGGCGCACGCCTTCTCCGAGGGCGCGCTCACCGAGCAGGAGGGCTTCATCAAGCACTACGTCGACCTGCTCATCGCCCGCCTCGGCGAGCAGGCGCGCGCGGGCAACGTCCTTGACATGACGCGCTGGTTCAACTACTTCACCTTCGACGTAATCGGCGAGCTGGCCTTCGGCGACCCCTTCTACTCCCTCGAGAAGAGCAACTACCACCCCTGGGTCGCGATGCTGTTCCAGACCATCAAGGCCGGCGCCAAGCTCAACTTCCTCTCGCAGTACCCCGTCCTGCGCCCGCTGCTCTTCTTCATGATCGACAAGAAGGACATCGAGAAGAAGATCGAGTCGGACAACCTGGCGCGCGAGAAGACGGACAAGAGGCTCGCCCTCGGCTCGGACACACGCAAGGACTTCATGACGTACATCCTCCGAAACAACAAGGACGGGAAGGGCATGAACCATGAGGAGATACATGTCAACGCGCGGGCGCTTATTATCGCCGGCAGCGAGACTACGGCCACCGCGCTCTGCGGGCTCACTTTCCATCTGACGCGCACGCCTGAGGTGTACCGTTTCTTGACGGATGAGATCCGCAACGCGTTTACCAGCGAGGAGGAGATCGACATGAAGTCCACTGCGCGTCTGCAGTACCTACACGCCTGCCTCGAGGAGACTCTGCGAATCTACCCCCCAGCCGCCGAGACGCCTCCCCGTATTTCGCCCGGCGACTACATCGACGGCCGCTTCGTGCCCAAGGGCGTAAGACTCCCGCACCTCCGCTCACCTCCAGACACCTCGCTAACCCCCCGCTCGCAGACATACATCTCCGTGTACCAGTGGGCAACCCACCACTCCCCGCGCAACTTCACCGACCCGGACGCCTTCAAGCCGCAGCGCTTCCTGCCCGACGCGCACCCCCTCCACGAGGCCCGCTACGCCAGCGACAACAAGGCGTCCTTCCGCCCCTTCGCGGCCGGCCCGCGCGACTGCATCGGCAAGAACCTCGCCTATGCGGAGATGCGCCTCGTCGTGGCGCGCTTCCTCTGGAACTTTGACGTCGCGCTCGAGCCCGGCCAGGACGACTGGGTCGCGGGCCAGCGGGCGTTTAATGTGTACGATAAGGGGCCGCTTTTGGTGAGGTTGAGGCCGAGGGAGCATAAGTTGGTTGATGCTTGAAAGTCGTGTAGAGGTTAGAAGAATCGTTGGAGGAAGCGAGAGATGATGTTATAAGTCAGCACATATACTGGAACAAGCACGAAGACGTGTGTTGTTGAACGGGTTTTCAGCAGAGAGAAATTTGGTTCTGCGGCTCATCTAACGCCGGCGCGAGACTTGAACGACTTCATCAGTAACTTGAAACAGCTATCTGGGTAGTTGTAAACAAGGGCAAGTCAGACATTACGCGAAGTTGTGATTCAGACTAGAGATAAGAAAATACGAACCAAAATATCAACACCTCTTAACAAGACCAACTAAATATTATATAGCCATCTCACACGCAAACTCTTCGACTGAGAAGCAAAAATCTACATTCTGTCCTCAAGTCTCAACATATCAACACAAAGTATCATAAACACAACCCAATTTCGGGAGCAAACCTCTATGGCCATCCCATCACCCTCACAAGCAACATCCTGCCAGCCAAACTCCATAACCCACAGCGGACCCGCCTCCCAAGCCCGTCGAGTCATATGCAACTTCCCCTGTCCTATTGGTCGTCAACATCCGATATGGTGTAGTGGCCAACATGATGCCCTCTCATCAATGATGCGAGGTTAGGCATAGCCCCGAGTTCGATTCTCGGTTTCGGAACATTTTTGCATTTTTGCCATTTTTGCCCGCACTTTTCGCCATGTCACGCTGCACCCAAGAAAGCCGTTACTCATTCACTTCTGCTTGCGGTTGCCCCCCGCTATCCCTCGAGCTTGAAAGTCTCGACACGAGAGAAAACTTTAGTTTTCGAAAGCGGTGGAGCGAAGTCGCGTCTCGCACCAGCACCAGATCACATGAGAACACCCACCAACGAAAGGAAACCTCACACACCAAACCAGAATTGATCCCATGACCGAAACACCATGCATCCCTCCCCGTCCCACCCTTTCAAAAATGCGAAAATCCACCATAAGCGCTGACGCCGTTCGCACAAACACGGCCCAACGATAGGCTTCCCGAGAATAGACGGCGCGCGGGCGGCGGGCGCGGGCTGCGCCGCCGCCGCCGTCACAGAATCCTTCCCGCGGAGGGGCGGAGGGGCGGAGGGGGTCGTGATGACAGGCTGACAGGACTAACTGACTTCACCAGCAATAAACAACAATCCCATTGTTGACGGCGGCCGCGCGCGTGGGTCTACTAAGCGCCAGGAACGTCCAGAGACCGAAAGACCATGCTTTGCATCATCGACGAGGCATCCTGAAAAACTGAGCGTTTACTTTGTTTGTTCAGTTCATGGGTCCGGACGAGGTGGCGCACTACCCATGAAATGACGAGAATCAGATTGAACACGCGTTAGACACGTTCTCTGTCCGCTGTGACGACCGGTGGTAAATTCATCATCCACGGATTCAAATGCCAATAACCAAACCTAGCATCGCGTGCAGCGCCTCGCAAAGAAACCCTGCGATATTGTCAATATTCTGCGCGGTCTCCGGAGACCGGCTCGCCTCGACTGTCGCCGTGCTCCGAATGCGACTGTGAAAAGGCAGGTTTGCGACGATGATCCAACAAGCTTCGAGCAGTATGGCCGAATAGGAAACCAGAAGTACAGCACCGCCCTCTCATTCGTCGCGATAAAGCTGCAACCTAGGTTAACCCCCTCTGCGATTCGCGAACGACAGGGGACGGCAGTCGTCAAGGAGCAAGCAACTCTACGCGACTCCATGCTCGGCCGTTCCCTGGAAAGTGGAAATATCTCTCCCACGGGTGATTGAAGTCGTCCATGAAGACGACGATCTCAGAATAAAGACGCATGCCGCGTCTCGCGAACTGCACGTCTCATTATCGTTAGGTTCTCCACCCAAAAAGGCAAGAACGCGGGAATGAAGGACGAGGATCAAGTCACACGGGCCACGGCTTGTGGGAGCGACGGGGGGCGCGCACGCGCGCGACCGATGCGAGAAAATGGCTCTGGCGGGACATGTCCATGCCCCCTCAGTGCGGGACAGCCTCTGTGGCGTGCGCCTCTGCGGGAGCTTGTGAAGGCAACGGCTGGGACGGGCGTTCGCTGGGCTACAACATTGGCATTTGAGGCCCAGAGGTGCATCGACTTGTCTGCCCTGCATGCGTGTCTTTTCGTCTGATGACTCTGGCGATCAAAACGCGTCCTGCCGGGAGGCTCACACTGGCTGGGCGTCCAGCTTCATGTGCCGTAGATCGCTCTTCCCTTCCCGTGTTGTCAGATCAGGCAGACTTGGCAGGCGCGCTGGCTGACGGGATTCTGGCCGACGAAGGATTGGGCATTCGGGCAGATATCCAAAAGTAAACACAACAAGCCTCCATGCGGAAAATGCTGCTCTGGATAATCAAAACGACAGGTGATATTTCTGCTCGCATTAACGCCCGGGTGATTTGATGATGAGGGCGACATGAGAAGTGAGCCGCGTCAAAGCCCGTGTTCCAGAGTATCGACCACTGTGACGTCTGTCTGGTTCCCGGAAGGGCCTGGAACAGCACTGGAGATGAGGGATGACATGGGTGGTGTTGGAGCAACACGCGGAGTGTGAAGAAGTCGATACTCAAGGAGGCTCGGCATCTCGTAAAGGCTGACTGAATGGCTATCAGCCCGTCTCATCACACCAGGCGTTGTTGATTTGGCGATCCGCAGCAACAATAACTTCCAATGGTCAGATGCCGGGCAATCTCCCTCTTTGCCTCGTCCTCAGACGGGCCCAGTGCATGCGTCCGTGTGGCTCCCCTCAGAGAGGCGTTACGCCCTCCCACCCACTCGAATCAGGGAAAAAGCAGGCAGCTGACCACTAGGCAGCGGCAGAAATGCCGCGTCTCCAACCACTCAGATAATTCGTACGAGGCGAATTCTCATCCAATCGTTTGGGTGTCGCGTCCACCGCCGCATATTGGTGTCAGGGTGTGAGGTGAGCCAGGCAGAGGCTCCTTCTGTGGCTATCAGCAACCCGAGAGATATGGACGCTCGTGACTGCAACCCTCAAGACTCAAACCGGGTTCTTCTCGGTCTTCGTGCTCACCTGACTTCTTCAGAGTCAAGTGCAAGCACGGCAAGAGACCTGCAGTGAGCAGATGTCTCCCCACGCGCTGCGCTGCGCGGGTGCGACGACCGACGAACCCGGCAAACCCCACCACGATTGTCAGCTCGTGAGACAGCCCAAGCCTCTGATACACCAACTGCATGTACGGCGGTACTTTCCTGCAGTCATATTTCTGTAAGTAGCTATCTCCGAGCGGCCGGATGCAGGTCTTGCGACTCCGAGACCTCGGAGGGACACGGTCGAACGGCTGCAGTACGAACAAAACCACGGCGGACGCGCCCGTCTTGTCTGCTGGGTCCCTTTGCCATCATCCATCCCGTCACACCGACTCTCTGGGAGACAGAGTCAGTGTCCAGCTTGCTTGGGGCTCTTGGTCTGCCTTGCTTTGCTGGATAGAATACCTCGTTTGGCGTGTAATGCCGTGGACTGTCGAGGAGTCATCCATGGTGGTCTGTGCAGAGCGCGATCCAGCGTCATTGTGCTTGGTGCCTTGGGTACGGTACCAAGGATCAAATGCCCTACAGAAACCGAAAGAGTACGTATTGCTGGCGATGCCAATGTACGAGGAGATGAGCAGCCCAACCGAGCCAACCTGCTCCCTCGAGAGTGTCACTCCCATGTTCCCCGCCTGGCTGGCGGCGGGAAGACTGAAGAGTTCTCATGCCAAAGGCACATGTACATGTACCTGGATTTCAGGCCAGGGTAATGCAGCCGCAGAAGTCGAAAGAATTTCGTCAGAGAATTAATGCGGTGTGTGTCACGTGGGGCCGAGTGGCTGAGAGTGGGCCCTCAATGGAAGAAGAAGAAAAGCGTGGTGCGGCGCGGACGGAGCTGGGCCAGAAAAAGCCCGGAGATTCAAGACTGTGACTCTTGCAGGGGAGGCCCAGCCGCACAGGCGGGAGCCGGGGGAACTTTGCCAGTGGCAGTCCAGAGATCGACAGTGCGTGCCCTGAGCGATTGGGACATTGGGGAGTGAATTGTGAGAAGCGAGCCAACAGAGCCAAATGTTGGCGTTGGATGGGCTTGATTCCTCAGCCGAAGCATCGTGCTCGCTTTGCCCTCTCACAGGAGCTGGCCTTTTGACAGCCACTGGGTCCATGGTTTTCAGAGGCCTGTCATATCCAGATAATGCGGCGCGTCCTTCTGTGTCCGTTGCGAGCAGAGAGACAAACAAATGTCCATCGGAACAGCTCGTCGTATTCCCATCCCCAGCCTCTCGTGAACTTGACTTTTGCCCCTCACCGTTCCAGAGCCAACAGCCGAGGGAGGCTAGCACGACCGGCCGGCGAAAAGAGGAGTGGTCACCGCCTCTTCTTTTTTCCCATGGCTTCTCCGCACTGTCCGTGTGTCCCACTTCCGTCACGGCGATAGATGGCCAAAACGAGGCAGAGTCGAAAGCAGTCGGTAGCTTGGAGTGAGTCGGTCGCTAAAATTAGCCCTTGCTGAAGTGCCAGCTCACGAATCTGTCGATCGACCTCATTCCTCGGGCAGTTGGAAGTCGGATCAGGTTTTCGCTTGTGTGCCGAAGCTGACCGACTTATTTGTGGCGTCACCCGCTCGCATACAGCAGACAGGCCATGAAACCAGATGCTAGGCGTTGAGAAACAGGAGGGACGGAGATAGTCTGAGGCAGCCTGAGGGCTAGGTGCTGTGCTGTAAAGGATAGACACGAGCTCAGGCAGCTCAGGGGAGCTTCGATCCAGCTTGCTTGCGCGTGTGTTGGAGCTTGGGTCAGGCCAGGTCGGGTCAGCGTAGGTACTCCGTACATACGGTACCTAGCCTCCGTGGCTCCGGTGGTGATGGCCCGGGTTAGCCATCAGGCAGTGGCAGGGTGGTCGGTTGGGGTAGGCATTGAGCAGCAGTGTGATGAGTCTCTTCTCGTCTCATGTTTTCGCGTCTTCACTGTTGGTGCGTGCAGCCTTGCTTTAAGAGAGGGAAATGCTGAAGTAACGTGGCAGATGGAGACCTTGCCCCATGCGGAAAAGTCGAGACCTGGGCGCAGAATTTGAGAGGTTGACAGGACGGACGGTCTAGAAACCGCTCGGGGAAAATAAGCTGTCAAAAGGTGGAAAATATTCAGGATGAACGGCGGAGTCGATTACCAAAGAATTTCAAAGTGCTGGACACTCAGATAGAGTAGCCAGGCAGATGAAGTTGATGTGCAAGTGCGTTACCTATGAATGATGGATAGCGGTTGTTGGGCGCGCATCCGCATCGAGGGACGAAAGTGAAGGAGCGCTGGAGGTGACTGGACAATTGGCAACCTCTCCACCCAAGGCGAGGAAGTCACAGTTGCATGGGATGCGCGTGCACGCCCAGAGGGGTGGCTACATCGGACAAAAAGTAGAGATCACGTCATGGCAGCAAATCAGAAGCGGCGAACGCGTCGCCAGCCACAGGACGGGGCCCACTTGGACCCGCTGATTCAGCCAGTCAGAGAGGTTAAAGGGTTAATGGCCCCGCCCCTCAAATCAACGCTCAGAATTCTCACCTCGTCCTTCACCTCCTCACTCCCACAACCAATCAATCTCTTCCGGCCCACCAAACGTGTCGGACGCGAGGGCAGAAAAAAAAAAGAGAGCAGAGACAGGC